CCGCCCGGTGTGGGTTGGGGGTGGGTGAGTGATGACGGTGTGCCGTTGATCCGGATGGATGCATCCTCCACTGGTGTGTGCACCTTAGCTTGAGCAAACTCACCGTACATACCCCGCTTGGTTGAAAAGAAGACGCGTCCGACTGCAGTGCATGAGCTCTCATGTGTTGTGGTACCTTTACTTCTTTAGTTGGAAATAAAGTCAAATCCGCCTCCTTGACCGAACAAGACCTCAGAGACACAGCCCAAGCCCGTCGCGAGGCCATCGTAGGCGACGATTCGGTTGGTGACAAGGAGAGGGCTTCGTGCCTTCTAAAGGTTACTCAGGAAGAAGTTGACCTCGGGTTCTTAGATGGGCCGTACTCGGCCACGGAGATTTCAAATTTGTTAGGCCACGAGCATTGGTGTGTGATCAGACGTTTTCTTCTTGACCAAGGGTCGAAGCAGCGTCCCATCGATGACGCGTGCCAGTCTCAGACCAATGCAGCTTACAGCACAACCATTCGCCTCGAGCTTCACAATGCTGACTACATTGCAAGTGTTGCCCTCTTCATCGCCAAGCAAGTTAAAGAAGGGCGTCAGCGTTTTGGTTCGGGGGATTGGGTTGGTAAGTGTTTGGATCTAACTAAGGCTTACAAGCAGATGGCATTGCACCCTTCCCATCGCGACCTTTGCGTCACTTACTTCAGGGGGCCAGACGGGAAGGAGATGTTCTTTCTCCCTAACTCCCTAATGTTCGGCGCAACGGCGGCCGTGTACGAGTTCATACGGGTGAGTAGGTGCCTTTGGTTTTTAATCAACCGGTGTCTGAGAGTTCCTTCGGCGGTGTATTTTGACGATTATCCCATCTTCACGCCCTGCGAGGGTTCAAAGGATGCGGATGACGCGGTGAGCCAGTTCTTATCCATGTTGGGATGAGACCACGCCAAAACTGGCCAGAAGGGCAAGCCGTGTGCATCTTCATTTGACGTGCTGGGCATGACACTGGACTTGTCTCAGGTGCGCCAGGGCTTGGTAACCCTTCGCAACAAGCCTGGCCGTGCAGAGAAGATCTTGGAAGCTTTTGAGGAAGTGGATGCCCCAGAAGCCATAACGAGACATCAGATTCAAGTCTTACATGGGTTGCTGAATTTCGCTGCGGGATTTTTAGCAGGGCGCTCTTTGAAGCACGTGTGCTACGATCTCCTTGAACTGCTTGAATGGAGGGGAACTCTGGCATTCGCAAAGCTGAAAGAGCTGGCAAGACGAACTCGTGAGATCCTTGAAGGGTCCCCGCCACGACTTCTGTCATGCCTGTTCGCCCCCGAACCCATTTTGATCTGGACTGACGGGTCATGGGAGAGCGGCGTCGCTGGTATCGGTGCTTGTGTGTGGGACCCTCTTGCCTCGGCGGGACAAGTCTTTGCGGGCGAGGCTCCGTCTTGGGCTCTTGACGCCTGGAGGGCCGACTTCGACACCGATAAGGAACCCCAGCTAATCTGTCACATTGAACTCTTTGTGATGGTGACGATCAGATGGATGCTCGCCGAGCGTCTGTTGAACAGGCGGGTCATCCTGTTCGTCGACAATGAATCGGCACGGTTTGCGATCTTGAAAGGAGGTAGTGGTAGCAGAGGAATGAGTGATCTGGTGAGAGCTTTTGATTACCCAGACCTCAAGCACCCGATGCTCTACTGGGTGGACCGAGTACCGTCGTACAGCAACGTGGCGGACGGTCCTTCGCGTAAAGACTTTGAGTGCGCTCTTAAGCTTATGCGCGCTGCTTCGGTTGAGGAGTTCTTTTGGACGGAGTCTCTGAAAGATATGGTCTTGGCAAGGCGCAAAAGGAAGGGGGTGTGACCGCGCCCAAACCTCGTGTGCCGATCATCCGAGATGGGGAGGTGCAAAACTTTTAATGTGGTGGCCGGCACTTGTGATTCCCCTTTGTTCGCCTCGAGCGAAAAGAAGCCTTGCATGTTCTCATGTTGTCTTACCTTAAGGGGAATATGAGATTTTATATGTGAAGATTCTTTTTGATTGATTGATTTATATTATGGGAGCGATAGCTCGTTATATATTCGTCATTTATGAAACCTTGAAACTTTGTGGAAATGCATGTTCGCTTGCATCTTCCAACTCCCAGCAAGCTGTCTGTCGACCACACAGCCTGAGACGTGAGACAAGGGTCCTGTGGGCCCTTTATGATCCCACAAATCCCTTGAGCCAGGCAACATGCCTGCAATCCAATGGTACAGAATTATAACTGCAGGCTTGCTTCTTGTGTTTTAAGTTGTGCACAATGCAGAGTGCCACCTGCTATGATGTATGCAAAAAAAGAAGGTACGTCTGAAGGACCACCCCTTTTGCAAGGAGGCTCCCGCCAGCCCAATCTCGTGTAACGGTTCGCGCCTGGCAGAACAAGCCCGCAGGATGGGCTCATTCCTGAGTGGGATTTCTTTACGGTTATGCTGATTTGCCTAGACACTGAACACGTACTCCCAACAAAGCTCCAGTCACACTAGAATCTGGACTGAACCCCCTTGAGTCGTGATTCGAGATGAACTTCCCAAAGAACCAATGTTTAGCTGTTGTTTCACTGCGTTCGCATGACCTGCCACTGAGCTTGCTGCACACATGAATGTCAAGCTCATGGGCTGGGAGAAAACGCCATTTGCAGAGGCTCGTCCTTAGCACGATCCACGCTAGGCTCGAAAGGCCGTCGGCCAGGTTGCCATATAAGTGGTTTAATTACATTGAATTGCTGTATCTAGTTTTCAGATTGCTGCTGTAGGCCTTTGAATGGCCTTGAGGTCCTTGATCTTGGATTTCTTTGTCTGGCCCAAAGTACTGCCAGCACCAGTATTGGCCCTTCAAGAACCTAAGCACCTGTCTCAAAGCATGCTCGAACGAATTGGTAGGATGGGCTTGCCCTGAGAAAGACTTGACATCCAGCGACTCAAATCTGGTCTGGACTGTCCCCACCAAGCAATCCTTCCGAGAACCACTTTGTAGCGCGCTGCAGCCGCGTCGGACAATGGGGGATCCTGTCTTGGATTCGCCCGACCCGCCCCACTTCAATCTTTCAATCTCGAACAGCAAAACTGGCCTAAAACCCCTTGCGCGCACTGTTTTGCGCGGTACAACCACAGCTGTCGACTGGCCTCTTTTCCTTTGACGTCCGGCACTTTTTCATTTATGCGGATTTCCCACAGATGAGTTGCTCATCTATGCAGATACCCCACAAACGATTATGCAGTGTCCCAGAAACGATTATGGGAATTCCCATAAAGAAAAAATATCCAAAAGCCGGCCTCGACCATAGCCCAAACGATTGCATGGACCTGTGCTGGTTTGAGGGTTCATGCTTAGGGTTTAGGTCGTGAGCTCTGCCGCCATGTTGGATCCAGCCACCTTGGGACAGTTAGCTACACCGATTTCGGCATTCCAGTGGACAGAATCGTGCGAGACCATGCAGGTGCGAGCTGTTTCGCTGCAAGCCACAGGTGTCCGACCCTTGCAGGGACCCAGCCCATATCTGCCTGCTTGAACCCTGACGAAATGCAACTTCAACACTACACTTGTAAAGGTTGTGGCCCCAAAATGCATGGTTCAATGACAATCGTAGAAAGGTTTAAGTTTCAGGATGTAAGGTGCAAGGTTTAGTGAACAAATCTAGATATTGGAATTCTACAGAGAACTGGGAGAGACGGAGCGAGAGAGAGAGAGAGAGAGATAGAGCCATATTCAGACGTGAGAAGCTTCACATCCTAAATCTTATAAACTAGTGGGTCCTGGGTTTCGGGTTCAGGCACCCATGTGCTTCCAGGATGGGCGGACTTAGCAAGTAAATAGCTGGGGTTACACTCTGGTTTACGGCTCTGAAACTAGAGTTGTCCACTTATCCTAATGAGGACAGCCTTTGTGTAGGTCTTCGGCCTGCATTTGGGGACGGTTCGGCGTCGAGATTCGATGGTTAAGGGGTTCAGTGGTCTTTTGAATTAGATGTTTGAGGCTAAACCCCAAACGTTAAACCTTAAACCCTAAACCATGCTTGGAGAGGTTCGGGATGAGGGATTGGGGCAATATGTCTTGGGATTTTCAGCAAGTAGTGAGATGAACATCTGAGGTTGCTCTCTGAATCCTACATCGCCACTCGCGTTTCCAATGTCATAGATCGTCGGCGAAACCCATATAGGCGGTGACTGTGAACCAAACGGCAAAGCGGAACGTCGTTGTGCCCCAACTTTAGAAGGCTAGCTTTGTATTTTATTCTCCTGAAACCTCAACCTGAACCTAGAAGCCTGAAGCACTACAACACCCAAAACACCCTAAGCCATACATCCTAAAAGGCTCAAGCTGCGTCTGTGTGAGGACTTTGCCACTAACCACGCGCATGCCAACTTCAACCTCTCTATCTCGAAAGATTGGGCGACGTCCATAGCTCAGTAAATCAGGCCTCACGTCAGTCTGTTTTAGAGAAGTCAGTATGGCTTTAGGTTAAGGGTCTTGGCAGGAAGCGGTACGGTTCAAAGTCCTCAAAACGACATAGTTCTGGGAAGCGGAACCCGAAAAGCATGACCTTTGACTGCCGAATCGCGAAATCTCGATTCAACTTTTTTCGTGGACACCGCAAAGCCGTGATTGCTCAGGAATGTGCAGGCTTTGCACACCAGGCCGCACGCCCAGTCATCCATGCAGCACTGCTTCAAAGTGGGGGAGCACAGAATTGTCTAGAGCGTCCACACTCAACGTGGATGCCTCCTGGTCAAGGGTCGGGCTCTTTGGGTCGTGCTTGGAGGTGGCGGCTTTTCTGGCGGTTCAAAGGCTAGCACCGGAGCCCTAAACCTTAAACCCTAAACATGAACCTAAACCATCAATCCTCTAATCCCCTAAACCCAAAGCCCTTATGCCCAAAACCTGAATCGCCTAAACCCTGATACCCTAAACCCAAATCCCCTAAACCCAGATTCGCTGAACCCTAAGACCCTAAAAGCAAAATCGCAGCTCTGCCTGCTGCAAACCCGTAAGCCCTTACAATGGACTCAACTCAGCTGCACGATTGCGAAGGCCTAAGCCACTAAGCCACGCTTCTTGGAACCATAGTCAAGCCTGCATGAAACATGCTTGCATGTATGTATGTGGATAGTTCTCTAAACTAGGGCCCCTTTTAGGTCCCCAGTAATATAGTACGGCACACGTATAAAAAGGACCCCCACAGGGACCCTACTTTAGAGAACTACCCATGTATGTATGTATGTATGTATGTATGTATGTATGTATGTATGTATATACGTGTACATGTATGTATCCACCCAAACCCTCAACTTGAAATCATAAAGCCTAGACCTTAAACACACAAACCCTGCTAACCCCTTCTAGAAGCCCTCTTGGAAGCCTCTCCTTGGAGCCTTACAGAACCCCACACAGCCCCAACCCCAAACCCTTAACCCTAAGCCCTAACCTAAAGCCGAAGGCCTACACCCAAGCCCTAAGGCCTCAACCCTTAACCCCAAACCCTAAACCCTAAACCCCAGACCCTTAACCCTAAACCCTAAACCCTAAACCCTAAACCCTAAACCCCTAAACCCTAAACCCCAGACCCTTAACTCGACGGCCCGAAGCCTTCAGGTGCAACCTTCCAGAGGCCGAGAAGATGCGACGCCATCTCGTTGGCATTTGCCATCCGCCGCCGGCCCTGAGATAGACGTTCCCTACATATGTATGTATGTATGTATGTATGTATGTATGTATGTATGTATGTATGTATATATATATATGTATAGATAGATATACATACACATGTATACATACATATATACATATATACGTATATATATATATATATGCATATGCAGGTGTTCGGTTTTGCATCTTCATGTTCGTATACACACATATATATACATACACATGTATGTATATGTTTGCACATGTGAAAGCAAATGTAGATGTGGATGTTTATCTGTATCTATATGCATATGCAAGCATATAAGTAAGGAAGTCTGTATGTTCGTATGTATTATGCGGGTATATACTCATAAGTTAATCGTTCCATCAAGAAAAGTGGAAAAGTGTTGCGGGGTTAACCCTAAAACCTAAACCCTAGGGTCATGAGGTGCAGGGGTGGGCTGCTGAAGGGATTCGGACTTGAATTGCATGGTATCCTGGGAGAGACCTGAGACCTCACAGTTTAGGGTTTCGGGTAGCATCCTTTGCCAGGTTCTCTACACCCTAAGCCGTTTAGGGTTTAGCTTTTAGCGTGGCCTGGGCCCTAGAAGAATTTGGCAAGTTTGGCTTACAAGCTTTGGACTTAGGAATTACAGCTCTGGGTTCAAGGTTTAGGGTTCCTGTCATCCAGAGTTCAACATGTGTTTTGCTTGGGGAACCAAGCTATATGGGTATGTTTGATTTTTCACGCTTTGTTTGGAGATCTCCCAAAATGTGGGAGTACGTGTGAGATATCACAAAAGGAACATATCCTCCGTAGTTAAAGTTCTTTCTTTTTGCGATGGAAACGTAAACTAGGTAATCAAGTTCAGCAATGAAGAGCCAGTCAAGCGTTCGCTTGCAGCCCGCTGCTTTGAAGCCAAGAGCCTACGGGCCCTAAACCCTAAACCCTAAACCCTAAACCCTAAACCCTAAACCCTAACACAGGTTCACAGGCCATGATCCCCCAACTCTGAACCCTCAACCCTACACCCGAAACTCTAAACCCTAAACCTTAAACCCTAAATCCTAAACCCTAAATCCAACTCTCCCTCAAACCCCAAACCCTAAACCTTAAACCCTAAACCCAAACCCCAACTCTGAAGCGTCACCCCCAAACTCTACCCTGAACCCTATGGACATTGGCCCATGTCACTTCGTCCGAGGTGTGTTGCCCACGCACTTCGTCCAGGACGCGTGTTTGGGAATTCTTTGCTTGATGGTAAGTGTTGTCCTACTAAGGTGCTTAAGAGTTTAGGGTTTAGGGGAGGAGTTTTGAGTTCCGGGTTTTTGTGGTGATTGTGTGATTTTGCATAGGCTATTTGTGTAAAAGTATTGATAAGATGACATGGTTCTTGCCGGAGATAGCGGTTTGGCCTGGGTCATATTGGGGTTAGTACTGGGAGTTTTTGAAAACAAGGGCTGCCTCCTTATAATAAGGATCCTACTATTTAGGGTGCTATATGGAGGTTTCCGAAAATAGGGGACCCTAATATAGTACCCTAAATAGTAGGATCCTTATTAGAAGGACCCCAAAATAAGGTCCCCTAGTTTTCGGAAACTCCCATATTACGATCCCCTATTTTCGGAAACCCCCACATGTGAGGGATTCCAGTACTGCTTATTGGCGCTTGCGAAGCGTATCCAGGATTTAGGGCGTAAGCTCTTTCAAGTCAGGTCACCGGGTTGTCAAAGGCGGGGTTTAGGCCTGGGCTTGGGGTTTAGGAGTTAAAGGCTTAGGGTTTAGGGTTTAGGGTTTAAGGTTTAGGGTTTAGGGTTTAAGGTTTAGGGTTTAGGGTTTAGGGTTCTGGGTTTAGGAGGGCCAAGACCAAAAGATTGCAACCTCAGTCCCTGCGTTTAGGGTTTGGGCTCCCGTGAGACCCTCGGCTACACTCCAAGACGCGTGCCCTGTGCCATATACCAGGAGGATGCTACAAGGGGAGCAGCTGTTCTCATTGATGCTGTGGCTGCAGTGGACAGTCATATATATATATATATACACAGGTATACGTAAATATAGATACAAATAGTACTTTGGATCGCTTTAGGGGCTTCAGGTTTCAGATTTTGGAGATATTTTGTTTAGTTGTTTTTAAGGGTTAGGGCCGCTCAGGGTTCCGGTTTCAAGGTTTCAGGGCTTGTGATTTAGAAGGGTCTGAGATTCAAATCCAAGGGTCCGAGCTTTTCGGGTGTGGCCCACAGTCCTCAAACCGTGAACGTAACCCCAAACCCTAAACCCTAAACCCTAAACCCTACGAGGTCGTAGATGCTACAGTCGGAAGGCCCCAGACGCCGCGATCAGCGGCTTCAAGCGCTTATCCTTAGGTCCCAAAACCAAAGATGTCCTAGACCCTAAATCCTAAACTTTAAACCCCAAAACCCAACGCTAAGCCCTAAACCCTAAACTTTAAACCCCCCCAAAACCCAACGCTAAACCCTAAGCCCTAAACCCATCCTAAACCTGGAGTCCAATCCCTGGAAGTCCAGTGTCACTCTTCACCACTAGGCCGGGTAAAGGCCATCTGCCCGAACCCTAAACCCTAAACCCTAAACCCCAAAGCCCTCAAGACCAGACCCTAAGCCGTCAACCCTCACCCCTTAACCCTAAACGCGACCTGGACCCCAAAGAACCCACGTTTTCAGGGTTCCTTGTTGTGATGTCTTTGTAGAAGTCCTTACCCCAAATCGTAACCGTACTAGACCCTGAGCCCTAAACCCCAAACCCAAAACCCCAAACCCAAAGACCCTAAACCCTAAATCCTGACCCTACTAGACCCTGAGCCCTAAACCCCAAACCCAAAACCCTAAACCCTAAATCCTGACCCTACTAGACCCTGAGCCCTAAACCCTAAACCTCAAAACCCTAAACCCTAAATCCTGACCCTACTAGACCCTGAGCCCTAAACCCCAAACCCAAAACCCCAAACCCAAAGACCCTAAACCCTAAATCCTGACCCTACTAGACCCTGAGCCCTAAGCCCTAAACCCCAATACCCTAAACCCTAAATCCTGACCCTACTAGACCCTGAGCCCTAAACCCTAAACCCCAAGACCCTAAACCCTAAATCCTGACCCTACTAGACCCTGAGCCCTAAACCCTAAACCCCAAGACCCTAAACCCTAGATCCTGACCCTACTAGACCCTGAGCCCTAAACCCTAAACCCCAAGACCCTAAACCCTAAACCCTGAGCCCTAAACCCTACGAGCCCTCCGCGTCGTCCGAGGCCACTTCTGCTCCACGGAGCAGGCACAGAAGCGGCGCAAGCAGATTCAAGCCGAGGTCGATTCCCTTAGGTCAGGGTTTTGGGGTTTAGGGTTTAGGGTTTAGGGTTTAGGCCGAGGTCGATCCCTTGAGTCTGGAGGGTTTCAGGATTTTGGGGTTCTCGGGTTTTTTGGATTTTAGGATGTCGATCCCTTGAGTCACGGTTTAGGGTTTAGGGTTTAGGCCGAGGTCGATCCCTTGAGTCTGGAGGCTTTAAGGATTTTAGGGTTCTAGGGCTTTAGGATTTTGGAGTTTTTAAAACCAAAATTTGGGGTTTAGGGTTTGGGGTTCTAGGATTTTAGGATTTTTAAGACCCTAAAATTTAGGGTTTAGGGTTTTAGGGTTTCAGGGTCAAGGGTTACGTAACAGACAGAGAGATCGTGGCATAGAGATTTATTTTTGTGCTTTTTTGGATACGTTTTTTTTACAAGCCTTTGTGGAGATAGATATAGATAGATAGATAGATAGATAGGTAGACCGATAGGTAGATCGATAGATAGATAGACAGACAGATAGATAGTGATAGAGATTTTGATAGTGATAGAGACACAGATCTAGACAGAGATAGAGATCGACGTGCTCCTGGAAGATCAAACCTTTCCGATAGAGATCGATGAAGATGTACATGTAGAGATAGAGATGCAGATAGACATAGACATAGAGAAAGAGTGAGAGAGAGAGGAGGTTAAAGACAGAGAGAGAGAGAGAGAGAGCAAGATAGTTAAGAGGCAAAGATATAGACATATTTTCCGTTGTTGTGTCATTCTTACAGTTACTGTGTTTGTTCCAAGTCCTACTATTTTTACTAGTGTTCCTACCATTATGGTTGCTGCTCCATTACGGTTGCTTGATCTCAGTTCTGTTGTAGTTGCTTTGTCTTATTCTCCTTCTTGGTCTAACCCCTTCTTCTCCTTGCTTCTTGTTCTCGTTACATGTCTGGCTTGGTACCATGCTTTTCGGGCGTGCTGTTGTAACTCTTAAGGTTCCAGGCGCTTTAAGGGGCTTACAGGACTTGGTAAGTAAGGCTATAAGTAAGTATAGCAATCACACTGTGCAGTTTTGCTTGTTTGTGATTGTGGGGGTGTGCTTGAGGGGTTACTGGCGACATAAGTCTTGATGTCTCTTGTCAGACAGGGTTTCCGAAGGATTTGGTAGGCCTCTTTCTGTGATATTTAGTGTTTGGGGTCAAAGCCCTAAGCCCTCATCTTTAAACTCTAAACCACAGAAGGGTTGTGGTAGGTTTCAAGATGTAACTGTCCTACGTGCCCCACAGCCTTGAAGCAACCTTAATCCCTGACAGCCCTGATAAGCCCTAACTAAAGCCCCACACCCTCGAAGCCAGAAAGTAGAACCCCTGGAACAGCCCGAAAACCCGAAACCTAAATCCGTTACCAAGCCATAAACCCTGCACCCTGGAGCTCTAAAGCCTTAAAAAATCTCTAGGCCCTGCTTAGAAGATCATGAGACTTCGTGACAAGGGCTATAAATATGGTAGCTATACTTTTACATACTTATAACTCCTGTGAAAATATTTGTGTTAAACCTTACTTACTAAGTCCCACTGACCTTGAAAATCCTAAACCCTAAACCCTAAAGCCAAAACCCTAAAGCCTAAACCCTAAACCCAAAATTAAGGCCTTTGTCGTCAAGCCTTTGAGCCCGAAGTGACGTGTGGGCTTTACCTGAAACCCTGAAGTTCATGATTTTAGGTTTTCGGGTTTTGTCCCTCCTTCTACTTGGGGTTACGGGCTTTAGGGTTTCTTGGTTTAGATTTTGGTTTTTGGGGTTTAGGGGTTTAGGGCTTAGGGTTTAACGTTTCGGGGTTTGGGGCTTACTCCGTTTACCCACCCCGAAGCCAAAACCCCCTAAGCAGACAAGTCTTGAACCTGTCACCCTAAACGGTTTAGGGTTTAAAAGGGTTGAGATTGCAGTTATTTTTTGCGCTTGCGGCTTTTGCTGGAAATTTCATGCTCGTACATGGCCTTTCTGGTTTCGGTGTTGGTTTACAGCCCGAAGAAGGAGCAGAACTTACATGAAGGCTTATGCTCGGGCTTCGGTAAGTGTATATAGGGCTCCTTTTTAAAACGCAGGTGAGTGTATCTGTATTTTTTATTTTTGGTTTTTATTGTGGTGATACGAGGAATACACGCCCTACATCTTGGCTTCTTTCTCGCCGGGCTTCAGAAGCCCCCAGCTCAACCAGGTTCAAGCGGGAACCTGCCCCAAACCCCAAATCCAACAACACAATCCCAAAGCGTAGACTATGTCCATCCTCTTGAAGAACCCCTCACGGCGTAAGCAGAAGTTTCGGTACAGGTGGTCAAGGACCGGTACATATCATGTGTTAGACATGCTCTCCAAGGTGAAACGTCAGCTTTTTGGTTTAAGGTGAATGGCCCTTAGACCTGTGCCTCTGTCGATCCTGGGCGGCTCTCTTGCTTCTGTCCTTCTTCGTTCCTTCGAAGATCGCTTGCCCACCTTCGATCTCCCTCCCGCTTCTGCTTTATCTGCCTCTTGCATAGCCCCGGAGCTCGTGGACTTTGTGCATTGGCCTTCTTTGCTGGCGGGCATAGGGATCGGTCTCTGCTTGGGCCCAGTCATTGATTTGCTCTATCTCTTCAGGGTGTGGTGGAGCGCAGTGGTCCGTGAGAGAATCCTCCTTCTGAGGCGTCAGCAAGGCCCTCTTTATCGAGTTCTTTGATTGTTGTATGAGTGATCTGGAGGGCGAGCTTTTGAGCTTGGCCAACGCAGTGCGCGAACTCACCTTGGAAGTCAGGAAGCAGGGTCGTGAGCTGCAGGCTCTTCACCGGCTTGTCGAGAGCAGGCTGGACTTTCAGGTGATCTCTGAGCCCGACAGCAGTCGGCCGGCAACACCGGCCCGCCTTACCGCAGCATCCAGTTCCCTAAGCCCTAATCCTTACAACCCTCCAGCCGGCCCTAGCCCTCCCCGCTGTTCAGGTGCGTCCGCCGTGGCTGTGTCTTCCAGCAAACAGGCCAGCGGGCTTATTTCTGATCAGGAACGCCGGCTTGTGGCTGAGCGAATCGGAGCCTTCTTCAAGCGGAGCCTAGCAGGGCAGCATCGCGGTGCCAGTGGTCGCGAGGACAATCCTTTGGGTTCAAAGCTGTACGTGCTTATTCGGGACGCGCAGGGTTGCACATACTCCCCTCCTGTACTTGTGGCGAGCTTTGCAAAGTTGAAGAGGCTTGTGAAGCCGCAAGGCGTTGTCAGTGAGGAAGCGATTTTCTGTGGTTTCCCGACCCAGTGGGAAGCTGCTTTAGCCTGCAGCAGTGCCGGCCTTGCGCCGTTGCTCGCGATGTCTGAGGCAGAAGCCGAAGCCGAGGAGAGTGGATCCGAGGAGGTCCACCGCCCTGCCGACCTCTACTTCGTCTGGTCGGGTGGGGCGACTAATTTTGAGTATGAAGTGGGCGCTCTCACTGTTGGAGAGGGCGACAATGCAAAACAGGTTGCAGTCATTCTTGTCACAGCTCTCGAGGGCCGAACCCTCGCCGTCTTTCCCCAAGGGGCTTGGGCCAAAAAGGTCAAGCAGCGCCGACTACCCTCAGGCCCTTTTTCAAAGCCGCTCTTGGCCGAGGTGGCCGTCTCTTCGGTGAAAGACCGCAGATTGCCTGAGCAACGTTCGCGCGTGAAGGTGTGGTTCGGTTTGCTTGAGGATAGCTTGGCAAATTTGGTTACGTTTGACGTGCCCGGCCCCGTTGATATGGGTTTTCAGCTGGCCGAACAGAGCCGGCTCCCTTTCGCACAGGCCCTTGTCGATGTGGCGGAGAGCCAGTTTGGATTCATGACGGCGGCCAGCCCCGATCAGGAGGCCGGGGGAAGTGCTGCGTTGGAAGCGCGGCTAAGGGCCCTTGAGGCTTCTTTGAAGTCGGTAGTCGGCAGTGTGCAGCAGCTTGTAGACCGCCAGCCCGAGCGACAGCGGCCAGACGCCGTTGCAAGGAGCAAGGCCCCGGCTAGGAAAAAGAAGCCCGAAGGATCAATCCCAGGCACTCCCCCTCCCCCAGGCCGAGCAAGAGAGGTGCCAGGTCTTGACCCAGCGGTCCTGCAAGCAGCTCGTGATGCGGGCGTGCGGCCCGATGAACTAAACGAGCTTGCGGGCTTTCTCGGGAGCCGATCGCGACCCTTGGGTGATTTCCCAGCTGCAGGTGCTGGTGCCGGTGACCTTGAGGCACCGTCCGAGCTCGGTGGCAGCGGAGCCGAAGGCTCTGAACGTGGCAGCGGCGCCGGAGGCCAAGCTCCCATCGAGGCTGCCGTGGTTACACTCACAGGGCTCATGAAGGAGATTGTCAAGGACCGCACAAAGCAGAGCGACCGTGCGCTCACGCTAGAGTCTGCTTTGGATCGTGCCGAATCCTCTTCATGGGACGCCTCAGGAAGCGCGAGCTCAGGGTCTCGATCCAAGTCGGTCGCATACCGCGTGCTCCGCGAATCCCTGAGGAAAAGGCCTGAGGTCATATATCAAAGCATCGAAAACTTGCTTGAAGAAGATTTGTTATCCCGCCGCGCGACCGGGAACCTGGCCGCGTCTCAAGCGTCGGCCAGAGCGTGGGTCGAGTTCCGCAGCCGGGTGGGAAATTATCCCAGCACGATCAGAGCCATGTGGGCAATAGCGGGAATTTTAGACAGCCTCCGAGATGGGTCGCCTGCCGAGGCGCGTGCCCGCGCTTGCCTTGCTCTCGCATCTTTTGACCAACAAAGCATAGATAACGGAGCCTGGGTGTATGCTCAGGAAATCACGCTAGAGCCTAGCCCACCCCTGAGCGCCTTCCAGTCCCGTCGAGTGGTAGTCTCTGATCCTCTCGACTCGTATCATAGCAAATTGCTTGATTCACGCGTCGCCGATATACTTTTGCACAGGGTCAAAGAGTTGGAAAGCTACCTTGACGCAAAGCGGAAACTCAGCCGAGGAAGGCCGAGCGATCCCCCTCCACAGAA